CAACCACAAGGCTTCGTAGCTAAAGACAAATCTGATTATGTTTGCAAGTTAGAAAAATCATTGTACGGGCTGAAACAAAGCCCATGACAATGGTACAAGAGGTTTGATGCCTATGTGCTAAAGATAGGGTTTAAAAGAAGTGAATTTGATGTTTGCTTGTATTTTAATGACATAAAGAGCAGTTGTGAAGTCAACTTACTGCTTTATGTTGACGATATGCTGTTAGTTGGACCTAGTAAGTCTCAAATTAATAAACTAAAGGATCTCTTAAAATCTGAATTTGACATGAAAGATTTAGGTAATGCTAGAAAGATTCTTGGGATGGTTATAACTAAAAATATGGCTGAGAATAGGTTAACTATTTCACAATGAAGCATACTTGAATAAAGTAATAACAAAATTTGGAATGAAAGACAGTAAAATTGTGAATGTGTCTCTTGCTAGTCATATGAATCTTTCACATGCTCATTCGCCTAAATCTGAGTCTGAATTGAAAGAGATGGAAAATGTACCTTATGCAAATGTTATAGGTTCTATCATGTTTTCTATGATTATTACCAGACCTGATCTTGCCTTTTCCATCAGTCTCTTAAGTAGATTTATGTTCAATCCTGGCAAGCCACACTGGGCTGGAATGAAAGGTTGTTGAGATATTTGGTTAAGACTTTAAATCTAGGCTTAGTGTATGAGAAAAGATCTGAAAAGTTAACCTTTAAAGGCTATGTTGATGCTGATTTTGCTGGTGATAAAAACAGTAGGAAATCAACCACAGCATACTTCTTTACCCTAGGTGATAACTGCATAACACGGAAATCACAGCTACAGCCTTTAGTGACTTTGCTAGCACCGAAGCAGAATATGTTGCCATAACTGAGGCGGTTAAGGAATGTATTTGGTTAAAAGGAATCTTAAAAGATCTGAACTTAATGCATGATATACCTATTATGTTCACTGATAGTCAAAGTGTTTTATCACTTAGTAAGAATCATGTTTATCATGAAAGATCAAAACATATTGAGGTGAAGTATCATTTTTTCTAGAAAAGCTGTCTCAAGGTGAAGTCGAACTTGTCAAGATTCATACTGACAAGAATCCATCTGATATGGGGACAAAAATTATGTCTGTGGAAAAAATTAAATTATGTTTATCTTTGCTACATATTGACATGGGTTAATTTTTCTTGCAGGTAGTGGACGATGATGATGAACAGCCTTCCATATGCAAATACGCAACCGAAAGAGAGAGAGTATTATGAGAACCAAGGTGAAGAATGTGAGAATCGTGGTTCTCCTAACTTTTTTTGGGCTAGTGCTATTTGTCTCATTTGTATTGTTTGCATTATTTTGGCCCAGCTGCTTAGGTGTCACTTGCCTATTGGTAGCTTGGTTGTTACATGGATTGTGCTAGCTTGGGTTTATTAGAACTGTTGGATGTGCTCAGACCCGACCCTGGACCAAAGCCACAAAGGCAATGGCCTAGGCCTCAAATCTTTAAGGGGCCTCAAAAAAATCAAAGTGGTTGATCAATCAATGGCCTAAAAAAAAAATATTACAACAAAAGTAAAGAAAAAAGGTAGATGAAAAAGAAGTGAAGAAAAAGCATATTTTTTTCATTCCAAAGCCTCAATTTTATACAAGGTTTGAAAGTTTCAACCAATAATGTATGGCTCTATTGAAGAAACTCCTGTGCCTCTTCTCCAAAAATGAAAAATCAATACCTCACAACTATTTTTTACTGAGCTTCAATCATTAATTGCAAATGAAATATCATTTCCCCTTATTATAGCAGAAAAAGTAATTGGACCGAGTCATTGAGATAATCAATTAAATAACAAGGGTGAAAATGAAAAGAAAATGGAATTTTACCTGGAAGGAAACTGAGAGTAAAACTCATCAATTGTGTGGAAAAAGGTGAAGGAAATAGCGTTGGCAATTTCTTTCGCCTAATAAAGAGTAAGAGTTTTTAGGGGTAAAAGATAAATAATAATAATAATTGCACATTTGATTCATAATTTATTGCCTACATAGCAATTTCGGTTTTTAAACTTTCATTATAAGTTCCACAATTGACTCCTAAACAAAAATATGATGATGTTTAAGGATTTCTAGTTGATTTCGAAAAGCTTAGCCTTCATTTTGAGTAGTTTCATTACTTATTTTACATCTCACAGCTAAATTTATGAGGTTCTGAGAAATATTTTGTTTTGCTACTATATTTTGAATTGTACAAAGTTTTCGTTTAAATAATAACATATTTTATTTAAATATTTAAGTATTGTTACGCTTGCGAAAAAATTATGTATAAGGGCCTCATATAATTATTTACCAAGGGCCTCAATATTCTTTGGGCCGCCTAGGATGTTTTGGATGGTTGAGATTTAATTCTTGATAGATATTTCCTCTCACCTCTCTTATTTCACTCGATCTCTCCATTCTCGAACCTTCTTCCCTCTCTCTCGTTTTTCTGGCTCTCTCTCTGTTTTGTGAGTAGTTTCTCTCGTCTCTTGGGTGATTTCTCTGTGATTGTTCTAGCATTTAGAGGGTAAACAAGTGGGTAATCTAGGCCTGAAAGAGTGGTTAGTTTTAGTCTTGGTTTTGCTCTAACGGTGAGGAAGAACAGTGGCTATTGGGAGATCTTTTGATCGATGACCAATACAGAGTTTCCCCTTCGAGTGTTTTCTGCAATCCCTCTCTTTCTGGACGGTGGTGTGCGATGATTGGAAGGGCTGTTCCTGAGCCTATCTTCGGCCGACTACCAAAAAGGGAAGTAACTCTCGGTTTTCATACATTTGGTGCTCTATGTTTTCTATTGCCTTCATGAATATGTTAATATGCTTTGTGCTCTGTTGATTGTCACTGTTAAATTCCTAACAAAATCTTAAGTTTACCTAAGATTTGGCTAATAATTAATTTAGTTCATCCTACGGACTTAAACATAATAATTAACATATTGTGCTACGCGTTCTCATCCAATGTAATGTCATGAAATGATAATTAATAAATTTTGTTACACGTTCTTATCCAATGTAATGAAGTTCAGATAATCCTTCATATGAAAGGAAAATAAGATTTGACCAAACACAACACTTTCTTGATTAGGACAATTCGAACACCAAGAAAATTCCTGGCTAGAAATAAGTAAGAGCATGTTAAATGCTATCAAATTATCAAATTAAAACATATAAAATTCACAAAGTCTAAACTCTTGTAGCAATAATTATATATATAAAAAAAAAGATCCAACATATGGTTAAATTAACACAATTATTTGAACTAAACAAGCTAAGAGTCGATATAAATAAGAGTTAACATGCATTTAAAAAAGCATGAAATTCAAATAGTAACAAGCACAAATATTAACTCAAAGTTACTTATTTTTATCAAATATAATCTTCAAAGTAAACTTAATAACTATTAAAGACAATTAAATATGGTTCTAAGCTTCATAATGAATCACAAAAAGAGTGTATTCTAAAACACCTTTGGCTTTGTTGGTAGCAGTATCAAAAGAGTAAGTATTGGTCACGGCTGAGCCACGTGCAAATCGGAAAACTCCAGTCCCACCAACAATGGGCAGTTCACGATACTCTTGAAATAATTGATTCCTTCCCAAGATACTAATAGTACTGCCCGCATATTCCCCCTCAGTGAACGCAAAGTTCATAACCATTTGTATTGCGGTATCATTCAAATCTGCAAATCCAACAGTTCCTTGATCCCGACCCACTTTCTTTGAATCGGGCTCAGGCCCTTCCGTTGCTAGGTTATCCAGCATGCTAATTTGGCCAAAGGACGTGGCTGAATTAGCAGTGGCCTCGACCACCTTCACAACAGTCGGGTTAGATCCGCCTATGACTTCTTGAACAAAAAAGTGAAGCTTCGTAACTTTTTGCCGAGTTGACCCGAAGTTTTTGTACCATTCTTCTACGGAATCAGTTAGTTTGGCTTCAACATTTGATTTCGCCATCGCTGTGTGTGTGTGTGTGTTTCTGTAATTTCAATGCAACGAAGGGTAGGATTTATAGAGGCGAATTGACTTAGTAGGATTTATATAGGCGAATTGACTTAGTAAACGTAATAGGAAGTTTCAAAGAAGGCATACTTTGATTTTGATATTAGCAAGTTGAAAGTGTTCAACATTTCTTTCTCTTTATTATATTGTCAAGTCTGCTTGAATTTAAATAAACTGTTGTTGGATTACGACATCTTTCGATATTAGCAGAAAATAATAGGAAAGGAATACAGGGATAAAATTATTAACCTACTTTCGTGTGATTTTAAAATATTTGGCGCATGCCTATTTCTGATTTTTTCAATTTGCGAATGCATTGTTGGACGGACCGTTGTATTCTTGCAAGTGGGTCCCAGTGAAAGATAGGGAGTAAAGAAAAGGGCATTTGTCATTGGCAATTGCCAAAAAAAACTAGGGAAAATTGAAGTAGTAGCACCAAACCTTTTATCTAGTAACTGATTTTGTCCAACCCTTTCATTTGTACCAATCACAGTATCAAGCTTTTCAAAATATTGTTGCTGAAATTCAAATGAATGGTTTCTACTAATTTGACTGTTAGTTGACCAAATAATTGATTTTGGCAATAATGTTGACTGATTTTAAAATGTTAAAATAGTAATTTTACATTTTTTTTTATAATCAAATAATTAAAATTAAAATTCATTTCCACCTTCTTCTTTGTCATCCGCCCCACCCCGCCCCGCACTGCACCCCACCCCAGATATGCAAATCTGGAAAATCAAAGTAGCCCGAGAAATATCTTCTTTCTTCTCCTCGTCAGCTGCTACATCATCATTCACTACTCTACACTTGAGTAAATTTCCAAGATGCAGGTGATTTGGCTTAGATTTTAGTTGTCTAGTGTGTGCGTGTATTTTTGTTGCTACATCTATAGTCATGGACGTAGCCGAAATTTCAATCTTGCAGGAGTGAAAATACGGGGGGTTGCCCCCCTCCCAGGGGTTCTGTGGTGGAGCCCCCGAAAAAAAAATTTTAACTAACAAAATTGAAAACAACGATTTTGAGTACTAAAATAAGCAAGTTAAATTGACTGACCAAAAAAGACAATCAGTTTGTCAATACAAAAACAATATATCCATTTATGTGTCTAACGCTATACAATTTGAAAACATGAACGTTAGATGGA